CCCTTCCTGCCTCCTAATGCACAGCATGGCTGGGCACACTCTGTAAAAAAACACATTGGATGGCAGAGCAGAGCCAGCTGCAGAAATGAGAGCAGCTGCGTGGAAAGAAACCAAAGCAGCAAAGGAAAGCCAGTGTGGGAAGGCATAAGCTAGACCTTCCTCTTTCCTTTTCGAAGGCTTCCCTGTCCCTGAAGTTGACAGCTGGTCTGACTCCTGAGCCCAGGGTCAGGTGACCCCACTAAGCTTGGATGCCCAGATCCTGCAGGTGTGGCACAAGGTGTGGCCTCTGACACTGCTATCTTGTCGCAGGGGACACGCTGCCTACAGTGCGGCCGTCAACATCCTGGACAACGGCACGAGCGTGGGAGCCACATACTTCATGACCTACCACACGGTGCTGCAGACCTCGGCCGACTTCATCGACGCCATGGAGAAGGCCCGCCTCATCGCCAACAACATCACCAGAACCATGAACCAGCAAGGGGGTGATCATCGCGTGTTCCCATACAGGTAAAGTGTTCATGAGGGTGTCCTGGGGAGTGACCCCACACACCAGGCCTTCCTTGCTGGGGCTGGTGGGGGGTGGGAGGGGTACGGTGCTGACACTTGGCTTTCCTTCTGGCCCGGCTCCATCCTGAGCTCGGGGGAAGCCTGTCGCTGGATATGGCGTCTGGGCAAGGAGAGCCGGATTGTGCAGCACCTGCCAAAGTCTCAACGCGGAGCTCACCCTGCAGAACAGCACGGGGGGCGGGGGTGGGGGCGCCTGGGAAGCAGCTCCACAGGGAGGACCCAGCAAGGCAGGGCTCCCGACGCAGGTTACTGGAGATGGCACCTTTATGGAGGTTTCTTGCTTTCATTTATTTATTGTTTTTTCATTATAAAGAAAATATTGGGACTTCCTTGGGGCTCCGGTGGTTAAGATTTCACGATTCCATTGCAGGGGGCATGTGTTTGATTCCTGGTCAGGGAACTAAGATTCCACATGCCAGAGGGGTGTGGCCAAAATAATTAAGAAAATATTTTACGAAATACTGAATTTGGAAAATGTAGGGAAGTAGGAGAAACAAGTGATTTCCCCACCAATCCCCAGGGTCTCAGTTCAGGGAACCTTGACTTTTTCCTGACAGAGGGCCAGCTTGTTGTCCTGGGGAAAGAGCTCTCAGAGTGGGTGTCCTGACCTCTAGGAGGAGCTGGTTAGCTTTGCCAAAATAGCATTATCTCCTCAGGACCTGCACAGACCCTGTTTGGCTGGGGGTAATCCTCCAGATAGACCAGGGCTTGTTTTCCCAAAGTACCCTGAAATATTCTTCATAGATGAATGCCTGCAAAGCAGAATGGAGGCTTCCCTGATGGCTCTGCAGGTAAAGAAGCCACGGGCCGTATAGAAGATGCAGGAGACACAGGTTCAATCCCTGGGTCGGGAAGATCCCCTGGAAGAGGGCATGGCAACCCTTTCCGGTATTCTTGCCGAGAAAAACCCATGCATGGACAGAGGAGCCTGGCGGGCTACAGTCCAGGGGGTTACAAAGAGTCAGACATGCCTGAGCACACGTAACACAAAGCAGAATGGATTGGGCATATGAACAAAAACTTTACATAAGATACACGTCTATGAGGCCCTGCTTTGGACCTCTGGGTCCAGCTGAACTGCCAAAGGCGAGTCTTACAAAAACAGGTAGGTTTCCTGTGAGGCCTGCCTCTCAAGGTAGCTTCATTTTGCAGTGGCGGCAGGATGAGGAGTAAAGCCCCCTGGAGTGAGAACGAGCAGTAACAGACCCCTCTCCCCCTTCCAGTGTGTTCTACGTCTTCTATGAGCAGTACCTGACCATGATTGACGACACCATCTTCAACCTCAGCGTGTCCCTGGGCGCCATCTTTCTGGTGACCTTGGTCCTCCTGGGCTGTGAGCTGTGGTCCGCGGTCATCATGTGCGCCACCATCGCCATGATCTTGGTCAACATGTTTGGGGTCATGTGGCTGTGGGGCATCAGCCTGAATGCAGTTTCTCTGGTCAACCTGGTCATGGTGAGTCCTCGGGGAGTGCTCATCCCTCACTCCTGTGCCACTGATGTGCCTTGTTTCTTGGGGTGAAAGGTCAAGTTCAGCTCTTGTTCTTGGTGCACATGGGCAGTTGGACGTGGTCACATAATGATGACGGTGTGACCTCACAGTCTGGCTGAAGTGTTCTGTGTGTATTATTCTGAAGGGTGAGTTGTCGAAGTATGTAGCCTGATGACAGGAAGATGTTCCATTTCCACTTAGACTAATTGCCCCTTCTGAATGGAATTTTCTGACCAGGGCTTTTAGCCTCTCACGTAGTTGCCAGGTGCTTTTTTAAGTCTTGAATATATGCGCATCTGAAAAAGTATGAACAGAAGCTAGACCCAGTGCATGTGCCCTTCATATAGGAAAAGAACATGCTTCAGGGGGAGTGGCAGTGAGGCCCTGCTAAAGAGATGACAGTGTGCTGCTTGGGTCTGGGGTGGGAGGACCTTGAGAGGTTTCAGCCGCTTCCCTATAGAAGGCCGATCTGCTGGAGGAATCTCGAGTGCTGGGCACTGTGCCTGGAGGTTCCACGGGCTTCCGGGACAGCTGATGTGGGTGCCCCGGGGGCTTTGTCTGGCGAGTAGGAGGGGCTTTGCCCAGGGCTCCTTGACTCCCCAGGGTGCCCTGGTAACCACAGATCCCAGGAGGGGGGCGCTTTTACCACCTTTAATCAGAGCAGAGCGGTCCTCACGGGAGCACTTTGTTTCAGAGCTGCGGCATCTCCGTGGAGTTCTGTAGCCACATCACGAGGGCGTTCACGGTGAGCACGAGGGGCAGCCGTGCGGAGCGGGCGGAGGAGGCGCTCTCCCACATGGGCAGCTCTGTAAGTACCGCCGAGCGGGCCCCCCCGGGCGGCAACTTCACCGTGAGGGGCCCAGTCGGGCGACTGAGAGCTTCTCAGGAGAAGAAACTTTACCAGATTCTGAAAACAGAATTTGTTATGTCTGACTTAGCGGCAGTACCTCAGGATTACAAGTTTTCAGGCAATTCAGGAAACTTGCGTAGAGCTGGATCTTGCGTAGAGCTCTAGCCTGGAATTCTTTAGGACTGTTCCTTTTGGGGACTCCTTTGCGCAGTCTGGCTGAATGAAGCAGGAAAACAGGTTTGATGTGAGAGCCATTGAAAAACCAGGCCCAGCCATGTGTGTTGAAAAGCAGGCGAGCTGCCACGCTTAGAGCCCAGTGTGGTTTGTGGGTCAGGTTGGCAGAATCTTCTCAGGCTGAACCAGGATACAGGGCTGGACTGTGAACCAGTTTCTTTTCCACCATAGAAAATACTGTTATAGATGAACAATGAAAAGTGTGCAATAGCATTGTCTAAAAACATAATGTACATACCTTAAAACTAATGCTCTTGGAAAAATGGTGCTGATAGACTTGCAAGGTTGCTATGGGGTATTTGCAGAATACACAGCTTTTATCCTTATTACACCTTTTTTTTTTTCAGATTCATAAACAGCAAATAAGCAGCATTTGGCTCTGCCTAAATTGTTTTATCAGTAACCCTGAAAGCTGGGGTTCAGTCCATCATTACTTCGGACCTTGATGTTTAAGAAATTCCTTTAGGAGGAAGTGTTCAATTATGGTCGGTTGATACAAGTGGTTTCTGAGCCCATCTCTCTTCTCTTAGGTATTCAGTGGAATCACACTAACAAAATTTGGAGGCATTATCGTGTTGGCCTTTGCCAAATCTCAAATTTTCCAGATATTTTACTTTAGGATGTATTTAGCCATGGTCTTACTGGGAGCCACTCATGGATTAATATTCCTCCCTGTCTTACTCAGTTACATAGGTAAGAGCTTTTTGTCTTTAACCTGGTGGGATAGAGGAAGCCTGATAAAAGGGCGGGTACCTTGAAGCTTTCCTTTTAAGTATTTGAATGTACTTATACCAGTGGTCATTTGATAAATATTTATTCTAAGAGAAAAACTCTGATCCTGGGGCTTCATGGCTAAACCACTTCATTAGAAAACTGGAGCCTGACGTGGTCAGCACTGGGAGTAAGGTTGCATGTCAGAGGCCCAGGGCTTCTCCCCACTGAGAAGGACCTGGTCTGGCCACAGCCCGGGGTGCCCTGGAGCAGCCTTCATTTCCGTTCACTTTTAAAGAATGCTGCTCTGTGGTTTGTCTCTAATTTGGAGTTCTCTTTAGGAGCATATTTTACCTCTGTGGCAACTTCAGCTTCTATAAATGACCTGTGGTTGACAGAACAGTACTAATTTGCTTGACTTATAGCTTTGTGATTGAGAAAATGAGGATTTTTTTCCCCCCTAAATCTCTGGAGGACAGGAAGTTCTGTTACAGTAGAAACCATCTCCTTTTCTCAAGGAATGATTCATAATTTATTTTATCCCTCATAGGCCCGTCAATAAATAAAGCCAGAAGTCTGACCGCGCAGCAGCGATACAGAGGCACAGAGCGAGAACAGCTCCTCAACTTCTAGCTGCCCCTCACGGGCTTGAGACTGTGTCTGCGGGTTGGCTGGTTTACCACGACGGCAACCGTGTTGTCGAGGCTCGGTGGAACCCTGGCCGTGAGCAAGCATCAGGCTACTTAACAGCAGCCGCTCTGGCCCTAGCGCTTTTAAACTCAGGAATGCAGACTCTGACTGGAAGCAGTATTGCTGAACCTGGAGGCAGCCCCAGGGTGCTGGAGCACCTTTCAGTTCCCCAGGAATGAGGCCTGGTTCTCGAGCAGCCAGAAGGGGGCGCTAGGGAGCCTGCGAGCTGCTCGCTGACACTTCCTAAAGGCCAATCAATGCAATGTTTCTCCTTTTTCAGGAGTAAGCCATCACACAAGTTCTACACCTTATTTTTAGTAACATTTGAGGATGTGGTAGATACATACTTTATTACAACATTTTGTAGTTTAAAGAGCTTTATTAACGCAATAAATTAACTTTGTACACATTTTATATATATATATATATATTTAAAAAAAACTAGCAAGTGACCTCAGAAAGTTGTAGGCCTCATTAGAGCTTGGTCTCCGAAAACTTGTTTGAAAAAAGCAACATGTTCTTCACAGTGTTCTCCTGTAAAGGAAAATGCAGATTTAATCCGTTAAGACGAGGCACAAGAGGAGGAAAACAAGGGAACACTCCGCAGCTCCTAGATGTGGATACTGGGTTTTAACTTATTTTTCTCTCATAAAATACTTTGTTTTCCTAAGCTTCTGAGTCATCCTTTCTGTTCACACAGCTCATGCCATCACAGGACTAGCTGGTGCCTTGACCGCCCCCAGCAACCCCGCCGTCTGCCCTGAGAGACGGTGGAGGAGCAGGGAGATCTGTAAACACTGGAAGCCCTGAAGGAGTCACAGGTTCCCCCATCCTGAGGAAAAGGGTGCTTTAGATTTCATAACTTTGGAGATTAGACTGATTGGCCAATGCATCCTGCCTAAAAATGAAACACTGACAAGCCTCAGGCCACTGATAACCCTCTGCAGCCATTTCCGGTCTTGTTCCTGATTCTTCAGAAAGGGCCATTCCAGGCCCAGATGTGAGACAGCTTTGCCCAGATGACACTGTCTCCACCCCATCCCTCCCTGCAAGTTCCAGAGCAGAACCCCAACTCCATCAGCACCCTGAATACATTCTCACTACAGTGAACAGGCTAAGGCTTATGCAGGCTGGTACAAAATTTTGTTAAGAACCAGCCCAAGAGTTCTCCGAACCAAAAGTCTTCTCGCCCCACCCCAGCCGCCAATGATCTCCTGGTACTGAATGTGGCCACCCCACGTCTTTTCCTTGCAGTTGTATTCTCACCTGGTGTGAAACTAGGGTTCCCTCGCAGACGCTGGTTTCGCTGTTCAAAAAATCGGAATATCGTGTAGAAAAGCATGTGGTCTTCAGTCTGCTTTGCAGCATCTAGAAACTTCCGTGCAGAGATGTTATCATGGCCACCAATCCCCCGGATGAACCTTAAGGCAGCTAACACTTGGTGTTTGGAAAGGAGAACTTCTACTATTTCATCATTTGCTGTGGAAAGTCGCTGGAAATAAGGTAGAAAGCTGGGTCAGTGCATGCAGTAGGAACAGCCTTCTGTGTGGTTTGAAACTTGGCTATATCAGTTACCTTCAGCATATCCAGAGACAGCTGGTGGGCAGGAGGATAAAAACTTTCTAGGGAAAGCAGCAAACAAGCCTGAAAGATACACGCTTTCAGATTGGATTCATAATATGTTGGAAGGTCAAAGGTTTATTTTATACTTGTTTTTATTTGGCTATGCCACGTGTCTTAGTTACAACATGTGAACTCTTGCTTGTGGCAAGCAGGATCTAGTTACCTAAGCAGGGTCAAGTTACCCCACCAGAAATCGAACCTGGGCCCCCTGCATTGGGAATGTGGAGTCTTAGCCACTGGATCACCAGGGAAGTCCCTCAAATGTTGAGTCACAGAAGTAAAGCCGACTGGCACTCACCAAAGGCTTTGAGTCACTGAGGACGTGGTACTGCAGGAACTGGTGCAGCATGTAGAAGAGGTTGTGCTGGACGAGCGTCTTGATGACCAGCTCGTGTAAGTAATGCTGAGAGACAGACAGACACGTCAGTCAACTACAACAGACTAGCGATGCGGCGTGCCAAGGACCGTGGCTGCTCTAAGTGAAGTTCCCGTCACTAGGAGAAGTGGGTGCAGGTGAAAACCCAGCCCTGATCTGACACCGATTATTCCACTGAGGAGCACAGGGCCCTATGAGGGGGGCGCCTCACTCTGAGCCAGGTGTGCAGACCCTTGGGGGATACTAAGTCACTTCAGTTCAGACAGTGACGCTGCTTTTACTCTAATGATTCCCTGTCCCTGGAACATGGGCCCACCAGAGGTACCTGTACTGTGATCTGAAACTGGTTCAGGGATCGGATGTACTCCATGAGCACGGCGATCACAAATTTGTGCGGCGTCTCCTGCACAGAGGAGAACGGTTAGACACATGTGACTCCTTGTTCATCTGCCCCCGGATTCTGGGGTTCCACTTGGCTGCGCTGTGCTGCTTCAGTCATGTCCAACTCTGTGTGACCCCATGGACCGTAGTCTGCAGGCTCCTCTGTCCATGGGATTCTCCAGCCAAGAATACTGGAGTGGGTTGCCATGCCCTCCTCCAGGGGATCTTCCTAACCCAGGGATCAAACTCACATCTCTTACATCTTCTGCACTGGCAGGCGGGTTCTTTACCACTAAGCCACCCTCCAGACCCTCCCTGGTCTGTGATCATATTTAAGCTTGAGTATTAGAGGCCAAATGATGAGCATTCATCCAGTCCTCACTCCAAGACAGCTCAGTTACTCTAATCACATTCTGAGTTCTTTCTCCTCAGTTCCCTTCAAGTATGATCACTGCCTTGTGAATCCTAAGCCCAAAGGGGGCTGGCAAGCCTCCCCTACCTTCTTCTCCGTGAACACCGACAGAACGTGGGTGTACATGTCAGACTGGTCGACCACGGCCTGGGTGCGCACTGGCCTCCTGAGCAGCAGGCCGCTCCGGCTCTGCCCTGCCTCCACGGCCTGCACAAACCACAGACAGGGTCTCAGGCGTCTTCTGGGTAATGGCATGTTTGCAGTCAACCCCAAAAGACCAAATTCCTAGGTGCTGTGAGCCTGGACAGGAGCAGAGGATGACATGTGGACAAACTCTGCAGTGCAGCTGGAGAGGGTGTTTAGCAGGTCAGAGCTGATCATCCTGAAAACACACCAGTGTTCATGGATGGAACCTAAAAGCCTAAGACGTAGTTTTATTGAGAATTTTAACCTCTTAAAATAACTCCCTAATAATATTAATTGCAAACCATGTGGCATTTGTTGTCTAATAAAATGCCTACTGCATCTTTGTTTTATGAAGCCCAGATCCTACACTGAGTGAAAAATATCTCTTACAATGAGTATCAAGAGAATTTTTTTTTTTTTGGCTGAACAGCAAGGCTTGGGGCATTGACCACAATCCAGACCAGGGACTGAACCCAGGCACTCAGTGCTGAGAACACAGAGTTCTAACCACTGGGTCGCCAGAGAATTCCCTCAATAGCTTTGTAAATGGCAAGCAAGGCTGTCACTGAACAAGAAAGCCCTGTGAGATCTTGACGACCTCACCTCACTTTGTAATGCTGACTGCGGGGGCACCTGAGAACCTGCATTTGCAGAAATCCGATGCATTCCAGTGGTGGTGTTGGTGGCCCACGCTCTTGACTCCCACAGGCTTACAAAGCCAGAGCACCGCAGCGTAGGGGCTCACAGAGGCTGCCATTTGAGATCAGACCTGCTGCCTCCTCTGCCCACAACACCCGTGGCAGGAACAGGACAGCTCCAGAAGGGCATGGGTCTGAGGACAGGGCCAAGCAAGGCTGCACACTGTGCCCCTGAGAGGCTAAAGGGAAGGGGTTCTGGGGGGTTGTCATTGTTTAAAACCACTGCCATTTTTAGCCTTCGGACTACTCAGGTTCATGAAGGCAAATAATTCATTCCACTTGTCCTGAACTTCCTTCTAGCTTCAGAAGACACACTTATGAAACAGTATAAGCCTACCCTTCACAACAGACACTCGACATTTTTGTTTGGTTTTTTTTGGGGGGGGGCCGCAAGTGGCATGCAAGATCTTAAGTCCCCAGACCAGGGGAACTGGTCCCAGACCATGCCCCTAACAGTGCAAGTGCTAGGAGCGTGAAGTCTTAACCATTGGACCGCCAGGGAAATCCAACAGACACCTGAGCCTAGGACAGGAAAAGCGCAGTGCTAGTACTTAATCATCAGGATCCTAAAAGGAGCTTGACTGAACGGCAGGATAAGTCTTATTTTTATAGCTTTTCCATCCTAAAAGGAAAGGAAGATGTGGCAAAATGATTTACATTACTGATTTACCAAAGTCTTGACTCTAGCTTGGCAGAAAGACATAAAATAATGCAAACCGAGACTGATTTTCTTCTCTGTTCCATAGAGGGAGACTACAAGGATCTATACATGTAATATGACCAAACAGATTAAAAACAACAAGTGAAGAGGAAGCCATTAAGTGACATGCAGCCCCTGGGCTCAGGGGACACGGGGACTCTAAGTTTATGCTGCCTGTAAACATCCACCATGCCCCCTGGCACAGGGCAAACCACAGTGGTATCATTCTATGAGAATCTTGCTTATAGTTAGGTTAAAAATGTACCTGGGGTGGGGTGGGGTGGAGCGCCCCCTGGTGTACATACAACTTACCATCGTGTAACTCTGCTCGGCGTCCAGGTACTTCTTATACTCCTGGTTGAGTTTGTCAAAGACGGTGGCTATCACGGGCAACGTCGCTCTGTCTGACTCTGTCAACACTGGAAGGGATCAAGGTTCACACCGGTCAGCCGACACGCTAGGAAAGGACTCGCCTCCAAGGGTCACCAGGAGACAAGACAGCTCAGGGGCTGGGGGCCCTGAGGGTGGTCACCAGCCCTTGCCAGTTCCTGACAGAGGGCGTCAGGAGAGTCTCAGAGCGTTAACAGACACAACGTCCCGAGTGACTTGGACTCAGAGAAAGGTTTCTTTTCCAGCTGGGGAGGGCATCCTCTACCCTCGTGTGTGCCCAGGTTTAGGTCTGTTTCTTTAGTCTCTCCTACCCAAGAAATGTCTTGCAGGGATACATCAAAAAGCAGCCTTTCCAGGGGGTTAAATGATGCCCCCGTCACAAGCCTACAGGCTGCAGAGAGGAGAAAAGCGTGGCCCATCTCACGGCGGGCATGCAGGCCATGTCAGGAATCAGACCGAGGGGCTGAGGACCCCCAAGCCCTACTCACTCTGCGAGCACACAGACAGGATGACCACCTTGCACTCCTTCCTCTGCAGGAGGAAGTCCACGAGCCTGCCTTTATCCGGCAAGAGGTTCACTATGGGCTGCAGTTTCACCTGGAGGTTCCAGAGGTAACCTGATGGAGAGGCGGCACGCTGAACCCTGGCTGTAAACCAGAGCAGCGGCCCCCGAGCTGCTTCCCTCCACCTTCAGGGCGGGCAGGGGGGGCCATGCTGCAGAGATGAGCCAGTGGCTGCGCTCACAACACAGCCAGGCTGCGACGCTCAGGACACCCACTCCACCGTGGGGCTGCAGCCAACGAGCTCTGCATGTTGGCCAACTCCTCACGGAGGAACCCTCCCTGCACACCCGTGGAGCATCCACTGAAGACGGGCACCTCCTCCCCTTCAGCGCTGACGGAGAGCAGGTGGCAGCCCGGGCACGGACTCTGGTCCCGGGATCCTCTTCTGCTCTGACTCGTTAGTCAAAGGCAACTCCTGAGGCTCCCAGAGGAGCTCTGGAACCCACCATCCTCCCAGCCCTGGGCACCCCCTGTCCCCGAACCTCCCAACACCCTCACTGCTGGGAAGTGGGCACAGTCCTTCTCAATGGGGGTCTGGGAGAGAAAGGCTTCACTGGAAATGTCCAAGTCAGCCCTTTCTCCCCAGGACCAGCACCGAGCTGGTACCCTCGAGAGGGACAGAAGACAGTCCACAAGCTCATCTTTTCTAACAGGACACTCCCCACCTGCACCTCAGACCCACCTTGACTCGCGCTGATGATGATATCGGGCTGGAAGACAATCCACGATGAAGAGTCCACACGTTATAGGAAACACTACCCCAGGAGAGGAGGACAGAAGACAACCCAGCTCCCATTAGCATCCTCCCCACCCCTCACTGAGACCCCCATGGAGGCCCGGCCCTTGATGAGAGGGAAACCCCACGGGTGCTTTCCATGGTGTGATTCACCGCTGACTTGGGGGCTTGGACCACCCTTAGACCCCGGTGTAAGGAGAGGTGACAGCTCCCCTCCCCAGCCCTGCCAAGGCTTTCGGAAAAGATACAGAGTTTACACGGGACAGGAGACTGGCTGGTCACAGGAGCCGGACCTACAAACGGAAAAGACACGTGTGTAAGGACTAAGTAACCCAGCCAGAAAGTGCTGCCAGTAAGACACTTAATACTTTCTAAGGGCTTCAGTGAGTGTTCATTCAACTGCAGTTAAGTAAGGAGGAAGTGAGTTGGCATTTCCACTGATAACACCCATCAGGAGTAAGAGGGAAGTCAAAAACAATTCATGAAGAAGTTTTAAAGGACGAAGTCTTAAAAGAAGCAGAAAGCAGATTGAGGTTTCTTTCACAGCGCTGTCTTGCTTTTTCACACACGTGCACAAGAACTGAAAAAGTCACCTGGGTGATTTCAGATTGGAAGAAAGGTTTTAATCAGCTGGTTAGAAAAGATGTCAATTTTGCACAGACTCCCCCACCCCTACCCAACGCCCCATTAGAGGACTGGGCTGGAATATTTAGAGAGTTGTTTTTGTCCCAATTGCCAGCAGTTATTTTCATGCTGAGTAAGCAATCGCAGATACCAGCCATTCATCTGACACCATCTACTCTTTAAGTGCTGACATCTTTCAACTACCCTGGGAAAAGGAAGAAGCTGGAAAGACCAGAGAAGGCTGAGACCTAATCAGATGTGAGAACTACAGCCGACCCTCAAACAAGGCGGGCATGAACTCCACGGGCCCACTTACACAGGGACATTTCTCAACAGTAGAAACCACAGGACTACACGGTCTGTGGGTGGCTGAATCTTCAGGTGCAGACCGATGGATATGGGGGACTGAGCATCAGTTATGTGCAGATTAACCCTCATTGTTCAAGGGTCAACTGTGGCTTGTTCTCAAAAACTCTGCTCAGCTGGCTGATCCTGCAAGACCCAGCGCGCAGGCATGAGGCAGCGCTCCGGCTAAACAATCAGCCAGAGCCTGACCTGATTCTTCTCGGGACAGGTACACGGACGTCCTGTCAGTGGGTGAGGTCAACCCAAAGGTTGACCTATCTGACAAGGATTCCTTTAAGAAAATGCTCCTCCCAAAGTTCCACATGTGCACCTTCTGACTCTGGTTTATACATGGCAACCAACTTGGTTGGTTGGTTGTATATACAACCATCTTGCTCCAGACTCCCATCTCCTTGAAAAAAACATGCTTTGAGTTCTCCCCTGAAGTCAGTCACACTAAGTAAAAGCAAAAGGAATGAAATGGCTTTTCCCCTTTCCTGACATCCTGACCTTCTCTCTCCTCTGACTTCTCACTGCCACCGCTTCGAGTCGGAGGATGGGTTCAGAATACTCACAACCACAGCCTTAACACTTCCCATGACCACCAGTCAAGGGAAAACAACAGTCTTTGTCATCATAGTGACACAGAACATAAGAACGATAAGGAGAAGTGATCCCTGGTCAAAATAACAGCCATAAATGCCCAAATTTAACTGCAGGGTTACCGAGCAGAGACAAGCAGAAACGTCAACATCTTACTCAACATTAAAAACTCTTTGAGCTTCAGTGGGTAATCACAATGCTCCATTGTAAAGCTCAGAGAAAAGAATCATTGTTTTCTTCAAAGGGAGATTCATATCACTTATAAAATGCTTTTCATGAGAACACAATTTTAACTTATAGACTCAGTAGTGTTAGTCGCTTGGTCGTGTCCGACTCTGAGACCCCAAAGACAGTCACCCAGCAGGTTTCTCTGTCCATTCTCTCCAGGCAAGAATACTGGAGTGGGTTGCCATTTTCTTCTCCAGGGGATCTTTCCAATCCAGAGACTGAACTCGCATCTCCTGCGTTGCAGGCAGATTCTTTATTATCTGAGCCACCAGGGAAGCCCAAGTTTCAGTAGTGACGTTAAAACAGACAGACAGAACCAGCCCTGGAAAAGCGAACAGGTGTGGGAAGCCCGGGACCTGCTCCCCCTTCCACCCACACATGGCGACTCCCTCTTACCTGCCGCGGGGATCTGATAGGGCTGGATGGATCGAGCTGGGAGCACCGGGTGATGCAGAGTAACAGAGCCGTCGAATTCCCCCCTCAACCTAATATCAAATATCACTGATGTCTGGCGGGTAGAAAGACAACAGTGTGGTATCAGTCCAACAGACCTCAGAACCTCACATCTTCTGATCAGATCTGCTAAGGGAGCCTCGTGTCTGCGATCTACCCCTGCATGCTGGTGGCAATCTGAGGAGGACTCTGCTGTGACATCACAGCTCTCCGCCACCTCTCAGCCAGCTCTCACATGGATTCCCACATCTATGACTCACTGCCTCTGAAGGGCTCCAGTGATGGGAACACAGCCTTTTCACTTTAACTTGCGACACCTTCATTAGTTAACAACACGGGTGTCACCAGCCTCCAGGAGGCAAGTGGCTTGTCTCCCACCGGACATCCAGCTGACAGGGCATTCCAGTTCTTTCTTTGGAGCCACGTGGCCTCAAAACCACCATCATTTACACTTACAAAGGAAGTGCAAGGCTCAGGCGCTAATGCAACAGAGAGGCTCAGCAGGAATTCCCGGCTTAGATGACTCAACCAAATGACTGTTCTCAAGTTTGGTCTCATGTGTGTTGTTTTCTGAAATAGTATTTAATTATCCTAATCAACTGGTAGGGTTTTCCTAAACCATCTAGAAGACCAAACCCATTTCTACCTGGAAGACCAAAACTTTGAGCATTAAAAGCATTTTCTAATCCTTTTCAGTATGTTTTGTCCATTTTCACAGTTCCTTGGAGCAGGACACCCCCTAGTCATACCTCTGTGTCCTGATGATGAACCACTACCAGGTTGTCCACCACGTTTAGGGCGAACTTCCCCGTCCGGTTTAACTTCAGTATGTGCATCTTCTTACAGGCACCTTCTCTGTAAGACAAGAGAAAGGTCACAAAATAGATCAACAAGCTTTAGTTCGTGTTTTAAAATTGGAGAAGAGGGAAGACAGCATTAAATGTACCGTGGTAGATGATACAGGACTACCTCTGCTCCAGTACTATTGGAGGTCCGAGAATGATGCCTCAGGAAGAGAACGTACAGCTGGCCATATCTGATCAGAGAACAAGGAGACGTAAGTCACGATGGTTATCTGACATCCTTCCATTCTACTGAGTTATAAGGCCATAGGTAAGTGAATTACAAGATACCCACTTGATCAGATATTCTGCAGCCAACAGAAACATTTATAAAGAAAGTGCAGTTAGCTTAAAAAAAAAAAAATCTAATATTAAGTGAAAAAGGGGGGGGTGCAAAACTAAATAGAACTTGATCACAGTAGTTAAAAAACCCACAAACTTATGCAGGCTGTCCAAAACTACTGGAAAGAAATGCAAGTTGTTAACAGTCGTCCTTGAGTAACATGCTGTGCTCATGTGCTCAGTCATGTCTGACTGTAGCCCACCAGCTTCCTTTGTCCATGGGATTTCCCAGCTAAGAATAGAGGACTGGGTTGCCATTTCCTCCTCCAGGGGATCTTCCAACCCAGGGATCGAACCCAAGTCTCCTGCAATGGCAGAGGGATTCTTTACCACTAGTGCCAGCTGGGAAGCCCAGAGTAATATGCCAAGTCTATTTTTCTTTTCACTTTCTGTGATTTCCCAGTTTTGTAAAATGAATACAGTCCTTAATCATAGGAAAGGATAATCACTTTGCATTTTTAAGCTTCATCTGATAAATGCTGCTGTGACCAGTTCCTGTAGGCAGGCTTTTGTTCCAAGAGTTCACACTGTGCTGGGGCCTGCCTCAGGGACAAGGAAGAGACAGAGGGAAGGGTCTCCTTTTGCAAAGATTGTTCTTATTTTATCTTTTTCTACACCATCATGCCTCAGATCTCTTAAAAAAAAAAAAAGCATTCTAAGTGCTAAAAATATTTTACCATTTGGAAACCAGTTTTAGGCCATAGAAGAATCAGAAGTAATTTAGAAGCAAAGTGTTGATATCTGTTGAATTTGGGTATACAGGAGAGTCCCTGAATTAGTTTTATTTTTGTGTTTGATATTTTCATAATAAAGTTGTTTAAACTGAGCTATCTACATTTCCAAATGAAAATAAACCTTCCTACACAAATAATTTAGGTCTACATCTGTTAGATAAAAAATGTAAGCTATGTTTTTCTTTAGAACAAGTATATTTTATCTAAAAAAATCTTTGATAAGCTTCAACTCAGAACTAAAAAAAAAATTTCTGAAACTGAGAAATAAATTGGCTCAATGGTCTCCTTTTATCAGACTAATGTGGTGAAAAAAACTTCTCTAAGATCACAAAGTCAATAAAATCAGAAAAGAATGTCAGGAAGATGAGGCGCTTTCTACATTCCTAAGATCCGGAAGTGGAGAAGCGGGGGTCCTTCTCGTGTGTTCCGAGGCTCCAGGAGCCAGGGCAGCCCCGGTGTGCTTACAACAACCTCCTATCATGACAGCGCTGAAAGCAATTACGAGGACGAATTCTCCCAAAGGACAGACATACATTGTCGCCATGGCAATGTCTCTCTCCGAGAGGCTCAGTTTAGTTGACTTTGGGGCAGCTGGTAATTCAATCTCAAACTTGGGCAGCTTCGACATGGTGCCAGCCTGTTTGGGGGAGAAAGAGTGTTTTTGCAAAAGCTTATTAAGCCCTTCTGATGTTTCAGCACTCCCCATGTCAAGTCACTGAGGATACACATGCACTGTCTTCCACTCCTTTTCAGGGTTCCGAGGGCCTGGTCTTAGGACTCATTCTTGGCGGAGATGGGATGGTACGGGGTGCCCTCTAGTGGTCAGAAGGGGCAAGGCTCTCGTTGGTGGAACTTGCACTTTTCAAGTTACAGATCAGTTAGGCTGTTATCAGAGGACTTTTTTTAAAGGGAGGCTGACCCTTACCCGGAAGTAGAAGGGCTGTAGCACATTTCCAAGCACTGTGGTGGACAGCAGAATCACGGAACCCTCGGGACAGTACATGTACCAGTTCACGTTGATGTTCTGGCTCTTCAGAAGCTTCAGATTCCGCTTCTCTGGTAACACCTGACACAAAGTTCAGAAACAGAAGCCTCATTTGAAAACAGCAAATAGGAAATTCCCTGGCGGTCCAGTGCCTCTGGGCTCTGTGCTTCTGCTGCAGGGAATCCAGGTTTGATCCCTGGTCAGGGAACTAAGATCCTGCATGCCTCGACGTACGGCCAAAACAATAAAAGAGAAAATACCTGAAGACTGACACAGTACACAAAGAAAATCATAAAAAGAAGCAGCCAGTAGTTAAGTGGGGGGGGAAATCATTTTTATTTATTACAGCTACCATTCTTCCAGTGCTGTGCTTATTAACACTTCCAAATCTTAGCTCATTTATTCTTTCCCTGCCCCCAAGGGCTGGACATCATTAGGCTGATTTGAGGAGAAAAAATAAGGCTTCAAGGGGCAAAGGAACCTGTGACAACCCAGGCAGCCCACCTCACTCCAGGGCCGCCCAAGCCCCCACACTCCCAGGCACTATCCTCCCAAGAGTGCGGAGCAGCAGCATCCTTGGTTGATCCTTGGATCCAGCAAAACAAGCCGACGCCCTGGAGCCACGTGCACCAAATCAGCCACCGCCCTGCCTGCAGAATCAGCCTTCCTCCTGGTCTCCCGCTCGATCTGAGGCTGGGGGTAAGGGGGTATCCTCCTTCTAACAGACTTGTTCATGAGACTCCACGTGCAAACCGAGTAACTATTTTATAATAATGGCACACTTAAAATATACTCAGAAACTCATACATTAAGGAGTGCTGAATAGAGCCCCAAGATGATGTTAACACTCCCAGAACACTGCCCTGAAGAACTGACATGGAAGTCAGCGTTGGGGATGTGGGTTTCTTGATGATCCAGGGATAATAAAATAAAGATGTGTCAGATTCCTCTTTCTTTCCAACTTATTTCTTGAAGATCTTAAAACCACCTAGATGACCCGAATGTACATTCTTCTACTTCTGAGAACAGAAAATATACTTTTAAATGACTGCCCAAGAACCCTTCTGTAAAGCTACAATCCTTTCCTTGCTATTCACAGGCACAAAATTCTATTTCTGTGTGTATGGGATTCAGGTAGCTTTTCTTTCTGCCAGTCACTAAGGTTCTGATAACAGACCTACAGCAAAGTACCATGGCATTCACAGCGCCCTGTGTTACAGAGGTGTGCCTCCTCCATTAGTACATTCCAAATGAAATTACACTGGTTTTGTTGGGGCAACAAACTTAATACCTGAATGAATTCTAACCCTCTCCACATTGGCTCCACTTAAGAGATTTCAGGAGCTTTCTCAATAGATCAGGCAGCTGGAACAGATTAACACATTACTGACCAGGGGATTTTTGCAGAAACTAAGGCCTGTGGCCAGCAATTTGTTATGTAAGTGAATACTGAAACACTCTGGTCAATTACATTCCGGTAACATAAGATGCATTACTACGTCTCTGGTCAGTAAGTTAGTTATTAAAAGATAAAGAGGAAAGTCCAATGTAAACAACAGAGTGAAAAGGCAACCTACAGAACAGGAGAAAGTATCTGCAAATTATCTATCTGATAAAGAGTTAATATTCAAACTATACAAACACTTCCTACAACTCGACAAAAAGAAAATAACCCAATTTAAAAACAGAGGGGACTTCCCTGGTGGCACAATGGATAAGAACCTGCTTGCTAATGCAGGGGACACGGGTTCGACCCCTGGTCCGGGAAGATTCCACATGCTGAAAGCAACTAAGCTCACGTGCTACAACTGCTGAAGCCTGCTCGCCCTAGAGCCCGTGTTCCCTGAGAAGCTGCTGCAATGTGAAGCCCGAACACCGCAATGAAGAGTAGCCCCCGCTCGCTGCAATTAGAGAAAGCCCTTGAGCAGCAACAAAAACTCAGCACTGCCAAAGATAAATAAAATAAATATTATTTTGTAAAAAAAAAAGGAATAGACACCATCCAGAGCACAAACAAAAGGACAACAAGTCATGAACAAGGTATACACCATCACCAATCAGAGAAATGCAAATCAAGACCACAATGAGACACCATCTGACACCCAGCAGGATGACTGCTATGGATAAAACAGAAAACAACAAGTGTTAGTGGTGAGATGCAGAAACTGGAACCCTTGTGCACCACTGCTGGGAATGTAGAATGGCATAACTGCTATGTGGAAATGCCTCAAAAATTAAAAACAGAATTATTATGTGATCCAACAATTCCATCTGGGGGTTATATACCCAAAAGAACTGAAAGCAGGATCTTGAAGATACACTCATACACTTGTGTATATAGCAGCATCATTCACAGCAGCCAAAAAATGAAAGCAATGTGACTGTCTGTCGGAAGATAAACAGACAAACAGAATGTGGTGTATGTATTCAATGGAATATTTTCCAGCCTGGCAAAGGAAGGGAATTCTGACGCATGCTGTAATATGGATGAACCTTGAGGACATTATACTAAATGAGACAGGACAGTCAGAAAAAGACAAACATTGTAAGATTCCATTTATAGGAGGCAGAGGACCTTAAAGCAGACAAATTCATAGAAGCAGAAAGGAAACCAGTGGTTACCACTGGCTGGGAAAGGGGAAATGGGGAGTTGCTGTTCAATAGGCACTGAGTTTCAGTTTTATGAGATAAAAGTTTTGGAGCTTGGTTTCATGACAATGTGAAAATACTTAATGCTAATGAATTATACACTTAATGGTTAAGATGGTAGATTTCATGTTCTGTGCTTTTTATCAGAGTTAAAAAAATTCTGGGACTTCCCTGACGGCCCAGTACTTAAAGCTTCCAATGCAGGGGGCAAGGGTTTAATTCTTAGTAGGGGAACTAAAATCCCACAGGGCACAGCCAAAAAATAAAAATAAATAAAATAAATAAGAAAAATTTAAAAAAAGTTTAAAGGCAATTCATAAAATAGGAAACACAAATGTACAATACACAAAAGATGCTTAGCACCCTCCTAATGAAACATGCAAATTAAAATGGCTTTCCACCTCTTAAGATTAGCAAATGTCTACAGACTTACGATATCTACCTCTGCTAACGGTGTGGAAAACAGAGATTCCTATATTGCTAGTGAGAATGCAACTTCTGGAAGAAATTTAACAATATCTGTTCAGGTTTTTACTTTTTATTCTTAATTTAGTTCTTACTCACAATTTATCTTTTGGCCTTGTTGCAAGGCATGTGGGATCTTAGTTACCTCATCAGGGACAGAACCTTCAACACCCCTACCCCACACATACCACCCATTGGAAGCAAGAAGTCTTAATTACCAGACCACCAGGAAAGTCCCTGTTCAGATTTTTAGGTATTCATACCTAGATTGTAATTGCCCTTTCAAGAATTGTGTCATCTAAGAATATAAAGCAGTGTTTACCAGCTCATACACTGCTTGAACTCACTACAGAATTGTTTGTAATCACTAGAAAACAAAGATGTTCATGAACAAGAAATGGTAAAACTGTAGCACATCTACACACCTGAATACCAATCAGAACAAGATATGGTAGGATGTGTAAGAAATATCCCTATGCAAAGAAAAAAGAGCCAGTTGCAAAAGTTTATACAATATAACCATATTTGTAAGTGCAGGAACCAAGTGGAGGAACAAACACCAAATCAGTTCATAATGGTTGCTTCCAGGAATTGTGGAGGACTTTTTACCTTCCATATAAAGTAAAGGTAAGATCTGAATGTTTTACCAAAAAATATGTATTAATTGTAATTAGAAAAAAAAGAATAAAAACCCAAGTGAATTCAAACAGCTGCTAAAACATGATCACAAACCTTTCTCTAGAACATGTAAGTAAAAAACATTTGTTCTTGTTTGTTTGCTAAGTCCTATCTGACTTTTTTGCGACTCTGTAGACTGTAGCACACCAGACTCCTCCGTCCATGGGAATTCCCAGGCAAGAATACTGGAGTGGGTTGCCATTTCCTTCTCCTGGAGATCTTCCCAACCCAGGGATCGAACCTGCGTCTCCTATATTGGCAGGTGGATACTTTACCACTGAGCCACCAAGGAAGCCCAAGTAATAAATATAATACCTGGTAAAATTCGATTCCTTGATCTGTGATGAAGACAATTTCAGTAGAACTAGTCCAGCAGAATCCTAGTATGTTGGCATTTTTGGTCTGAAAAGAATTGTAGAGAAATTTTTTTTAATTAATAATAAAAAAAAAAAGAACCTGTAATTTTTTTCAAAAGTTTAAAGTACTTTTTAAACTACTTTTAAAGTACTTTTAAAGCACTTTCTCAAAAGTTTAACGTTTAAAGTGCTGTTTATATCACTCTTTGATAAAAGTTACCAAGATTTGATTACTTATGAACAAATCAAACTTTCTGTTAAATACAGTGTTCCCAGATCTCCAGCTGAAACACCTCACTGAAGCACCTGAATGTGAAGTCCTTCTTGTCAACAGGATGGGGGAAAGGACTGAGTTTGGCAGGAAGGTAACTGCCCAGCACTCTGATACCAACCTCTACCTTTAGAAATCAAAGGACAGCTGACATGCTGAGTCAAACACATCATAAAAGCTAGTGGTATAAAGGCCTAAAGATACCCAAAGTGGGGTTGAAGATCTTGAGCCCTGCCCTGAGTCACCTGGAGAAGAGCCACGCTGGGAGCCTCAGGGCAGCCAGGCCAGGACCAGGCTCTGCTGCACACAGCAATGGAGCCTGCCAGGAGCTAAGGTGTCTGCAGATGGGCCCCTCTTTGCTGAGAACCCATCACAAGTATTAGTCACTCAGTTGTGTCCGGCTCTTTGTGCCCCCACGGACTGCCAGACTCCTCTGTTCATGGGACTGTCCAGGGAAGAATACTGGAGTGGGCTGCCCTTTCCCCCTCCAGGGGATCTTCCCAACCCAGGGGTCAAACCTGCATCTCCTGCTTTGCAGGCAGATTCTCTGAGCCACCTGGGAAATCTGAGGAACCCAGGTGGATTCTCAAGTAGCAAAACCATTACAAAGACACACAAAGACAAACCCCTTCACCAGCAGCGTCTGCTGGGTTTCCTGGGTGCCAGGATGCTCTGAGCTGAGCCCCCTCTAGCTCATCACGCTCAGCAAATCTGATTAAAATGGATTAGAACCTCCACTGACGGGAGGGACGGAAGAGGAAGGACACAAGGAGCCAAGTCCAGACAACATCATCAGGAAAAAGGGGGAGAGAACTCCTTTTCCGAAAACCTCCGAAGAGGCTGCTATAAAGGGAATCCAAGGTCTGACCCAGAAACGCCGACTAGCAGAGAAGGGCAGGGGCCACAGGAAGACAACAGCCACCAAGGGCTGAAGCGGCTCGGTATTCAACATCGCCCATCCATTTAGTTCTGCTAGCTCCATCTTACAGCTGAAGAAATGCACTTTAAAGTTAAAAAGTGTCCGAAGTCAGAGCCAACATGAGGCAGATCCCAGGGTCCAAGCACAATCTAATTCCACATTCGTGCTCTCAATTACCTGGCTACCCCGTGCTTCTGACCCTGGGGTTTGCGCCCACCAGCTCAGACAGAATCACCCCACCAGCCCATACCTTGCACTCCTGAGTGTACTCCAGCTGAGAACTATCCGGGATAAAATTAGAAAAGTCCTGAAAGGAAAGAAGCACACAAGAGGAGAAGTGTGAATCTTCGACTACAAAGAGACAAGAGGAAAAAGACAAATAAATTTAAAAAGTGGTCAGGAAAAAAAAAAAAAAACGGACAAAACCCCAAGGACAGGAGAAATAACCGATCTGGACAAACTGCCCCATTATCAGCAACAGGTTGACAATTCCAATTTTTAAAATGAGTTAATCCGAATATTCTTAGGGTTCAGAAACTGATTTTGAAAATGCATTCCTCAAATGACTGACTTCAGAGAAATGGGTTGCTATATTTTACAAGAGGCTTTCCAAAAATTTTAGCAGTTAATACTGACAGAAAGAAACAGGATTTGCCTTTCTCAACAGCTTTTTCCCTACAAATTGCAATGGTGAATACTGACGAAAGCCAAAATGCCAACAAGCTGCTCCAGCTTTGAATATCTGCTCTTAGATCAAGCATTCAAAGATGAGAGAAATGAAAATATGAAGATACTGAGGTAAGGCTAACTCCCAAAGTTGCCAAAAATATGCTTTGAAAAATCTATGGTTCCAGTTATCCATCAAAACAAAAGATGCCTGATGTTCCAAATAATTTTTAAAAAAACTTTAAGGGGACTCTGTGCAATTCCAGGAGTTAGGATGCCTCACTTTTATTGCAGGGGGCCAAAGTTTGGTGCCTGGCTGGGGAGCTAAGCTCCTGCAAGCCACGTAGAGCAGAAGAAAAAAAAAGGAAAAATTTTAAAAGAGGTACATTAAAAAATTTTAAGTAAAAAATGACAAACTAAGGCCATTAAGCATTTATCCATTTAAATGTATTTCTCATCTTCAAGAATACAAAAACTCAAATACAATGCAGCATGGAACTACAGCTTCCATGAAATTAAAATAAAAATGGGTCCTTTGACACTGGAATTTTGCAGTTCGTTCTCTTCCAAATGTACTTCTAGTTTTATATTTCCCCATTCCTTATTATTTACTGTGTACTTTTATTTGGTCTATTTTCTCTGCTGTCAAATGTCTGACTCTTTGCCACCCCATGGAATGTAGCCCACCAGGCTCCTCTGTCCATGGGATTCTCCAGGCAAGAATACTGGAATGGGTTGCCATGCCCTCCTCCAGGGGATCTTTCCAATCCAGGGATTGAATCCACATCTCTGGTGTCTCCTGCATTGCAGGCAGATTCTTTACCACTAGCGCCACCTGGGAAGCCCACCAAATAAATGTACTTCTAATGTCCTTTTCTTTGTACTATAAAGATATGTCTTACCACGGTCTTTGAGGTCCTCTGAACAGCCAATATCTTATTTTCCAAGGAAAACTTGATGCACTTCACTTCTCCCTTGTCCTCCATTCTTTAAGAAGAAAGAGCAGGTGATGAGTTGTACAGTTCATGACTGCATTCTAGCTTCTATCATTTTATGAGAAGAAAAAAGACAAGTTAAATATTCAGGAAGCAGCAAATCTTAGTTTAAAATGACAATGATGTTTCTGAAGCTTCAGTAGGACCACTTTTTTTTTCATTTATTTTTATTAGTTGGAGGCTAATTACTTTACAATATTGTAGTGGTTTTTGTCATACATTGACATGAATCAGCCATGGATTTACATGTATTCCCCATCCCGATCCCCCTCCCACCTCCCTCTCTACCCGATCCCTCTGGGTCTTCCCAGTGCACCAGGCCCGAGCATTTGAGTAGGACTGCTTTTCAAACAGCAAAGTCCAACTGGCAACAGGAGGCAGAAGAAACTGACCGAATTGCACGTATCAAGTGACTAAGGTGTTATGAACACTGTACTTTCACCTGAGCCTCCTTTTAGATGTCACTGAGTCTAGACCCCAGAGCAACTTTCTCCACACACTGCCGCCTTCTCTCTCCATTGCCTTCACAGCAACACCTTTTTTCTCCTGAGATGCTGGCAGCTGTGAGATATTTACTTATTTCTGATTGAAGTATATAGCAGCGCTTTTGAAAAAGGAGTCTACTTTTTCCTACCCAGCACCCCATGGGCTGCGCCGCCCAGGATGGCTGCACCTCCATCTCACAACCACCTCAGATGGACATCAAGAGGAAGCCAAGGGCTGGATCACAGGGGAAACTCTCGAAGGAAATGGGGCACTCACTGTCCCGATTGTGACGGTTTCATGTATCAAAACTCATCAACTATGTATGTCAAATATATGCAGCTAGTTAATAATTAGACCATAACAGAGCTATTAAAAGTAGCAAGATGTTTTTAAAACAGGGTAGGGAATTTCCTGGTGGTCCAGTGGCTAGGACTCAGCACTTTCACTACTGGGCCTGGGTTCGATCCCTGGTCGACAAACTACGATCCCACAAGCCGCTCAGTGTGGCCAAAAATATCAAAGAGGGTAAACTCAGTATCTCCCCTCAAGTCTTCCTGAGCCTCCTGAGCTAGATCCTCATGGCCTCACCCCCACTTTCCACACCCAAGCGACCAGCGAGTCTTCCCCCAGACCTTCCTAAGCAACCCCGGAGAGCCTACTGGAGGCCAGTCAACCCCGTCTTTGGTCTACACTGCCTTCAGGCAGGTTTCCACTGCACCGCTCAGAGCGCAGCAGTCGTCTTTTACTGGGACACCTGGCTCACGTGACAGGTTCCCAACCAATCGAGCCTCAATGCTGCACCAGTGCACTCTTCCCACTACTCATCTTTTTGCCTTTTTTAAAAATCTAAAGTAACGAGATGAACCCTGAAATCCACAGCAGAATATAGAGGGTTCAAGCTGACTGCTGTCAGTGGCCACATCACCACCCATGCCTTCCCTGCGTGAAACCTCGTCTTCAGTCCCTCCCCGCAACAGGGAGACTGCTTGTTTTCATGTTCTCTCCATCCGGAAGCCTCCTGTCCACCTAGAAGTCTCCCTTTCAGGCCTCAATCCTCTCTGAGGCTTTCCCCCTCCCAGGCAGTGATCTTCCCCAGCCCATTCCAAGATAAATGCCCATCTCTTCTCTGTGCCTACATTCTGAAGAGAGGGTGATTACAATACCTATCACAGTAAATACTATGTGTCCACTCCTTGCCTCCCAACACTAAACGTATGGGTTTTCCAAAAGCGGGGTGTGCTCACCTACTCAGTGGCTCTGTCGTGTCTGACTTTTTGCGACCCCTAAAGGGGGCCAGGCTCACTCAAAGCCTCCACACGCTTGGAGCCCAGCACACTGCAAGTAGTGTTTTCCCAACAAAGGATGATCGAAGAAAAAGAGGCTGATTCATTTTCTACTTCAAAAATTGTTTTCAAGGGACTTCCCTGGTGGTCCAGTGACTAAGAACTCTGCGTTCCCAATGCAGGGGGCCCAGGTTCCATCCCTGGTCAGGGAACCAGACCCCACATGCCACAAGGAAAAGAACCCACACACTGCAACTAAGACCTGGCCGCTGCTGTTAAGTCACTTTAGCCGTGTCCGACTCTGTGCAACCCCAGAGCCGGCAGCCCACCAGGCTCCCCCATCCCTGGGATTCTCCAGGCACAGCCAAATAAATAAAAACTTAAAAAAACCAAAAAAACAAAAACTGTTTCCTAGTTACACAGTCTAACTGTAAAATGTTTTTAAAGTCACCACTGAACTGAGGATCAACTCTGTACTTTCCCCTCTGTAATCACAAGAGTTAAGGTCATCAGATAGTTTATCATCCAAACTGAGATACTTCTGGAAGTGAAAGGAGCTGGTACCCATAGTTCCACTGGTTCCACTGGGATATACTGGGACATCCAGTGCCCTTAAGTATACTGGAAGCTGAGGTTTCAACACACATGATTACATGGCAAACACTGACCCAGGAATCTCCTCCATCTCCCAAAATCTCTGGAAAGCCCCTGAGCCAAAAGAGGAAATAAAGCCCCTCTTCCGCCAAGAAGCCGGAAATACAAACGCTGACATTCTGACTGGTTAATTTCAAGAGACACGAACTGGAGTATGTGGATCCCAAAACAACAAGGAAAGACTGCACACCTTCACTCTGACGGGAAGTCCAAGGATGTCCACCAAGGTTGTATAGCAGGTGTCTGCTTCCCTCTTCCTACAGGCAGGGATGTGCCCCACACCCAACATATAAAACAAGCTTCTGAATGAGAAACAGATAAAAACACCATTTTGTTGACACGTTGTAACAGTCTGGAAACGTCAATATGATAATTACCTAAATGAGATGGGATTCCTGTCATCAGGGCCTTTCACTACCACTCCAGTGGCTCCACCAGATCGAACGGCAAAAACCTGGGAGAAAAAGCAGGGACGTTTTAGCATCCTGAACTCTGAAAGGCTCCAGACACCTATGTCCACCTGCGACGATGATTTCTGCTACGCCCCACCCTGGGTTCAGCTGAACTAACGTGGCACTTAAGCAAACTGCGGGTGCTTGTTGTCCACATGAGTTTTAAGAAACAAGAGAGTAGTGACCAAAACAAGCTGCCATTTGGCACGCTGCCCGCCGTGCGAGACCGGGTCGGTCCTGGAGGCTGCAAGCTCTAACCTGTTTCTGCAAAGGCACCGTGAATGCAGTTACGCACACCCGGCTACTCAGCCAAGCTGCTCCCCGAGTTTACAAAATTCCCGAGAACAGTGAAAATCTCAGCGCCTAAATCCTTCACTGCAAGGGAAACTGACGACCAGAAGGCGTCGGGGAAACACCGGCGTGCCACCAGCGGACCGCAGCGGCCGAGGGGAGCGGGGTCCGCCCGGCTGTCACTTCGGGGGAGGAAGCCCTGGCCGCGGCGGAGCCCGGTCACTTGGATGCCTCACAGGACAGGACTGGCGCGGGGGCCGTAGGCCTGATCCCCGGGCCCCCGGCCACGGCGCGCGGAACACCCAGCGGCATCGGGGGCGGCTGGCAGGGCGCGCCGGGCCGCGCGGGGGAGAAGGGCGCGGGCCGGCCCGGACCTGCTTGTTGGCCTCGTCGAAGAAGACGCAGTTGACCGGGTTCGCTTTCTCGAAGTGCACCGGCCGCTCGCACAGCTCCAGGTAATAGTCCTCTTCGCCCATGGCGGGCGCCGCAGCGGCGGCGGGGGGCCCAGGGGCGGCCGCCAGCGTGAAGCCGGTAGAGCAACACCGGATGTAAGGAGTCTGGCTGGGCGGCGGCGGTGGTGGCGGCGATCTCGCGGGCGCTGAGGCCGCTTCCTGGTGCCACGCCCCCAACCCTCTGGCACGTGACCCGCAGATCTCTTCGCTTAAACTGGCGACTAACCGCCCGCCTCGTAGCGGTGGGGTCCACCGGCCGGAGACCCAGCCGGGCTCTCCGCGGGAGGCTCCTCCCCTTTGCGGTGGGGGCGGAGCCCCAGGGCTGCCCAGCAGACGAAGAGTGAAGGGCGGAGGGGCGGAGGGCCTGACAGGGAAACGATGTTTGGTGCAGTGGGCGGGCGTGCGCGCCCTGGAGCCCAGCCGCACTTTTCCGGGTAGTCGGTGGTCCTGGCTCCCTCTCGGTCACAGGAAGCTTGCGTAGGGCCGCGTGCTTGTGTGGGGCAGGGCTGCCCCCTGGTCTAAGGAAAGCGCATCCTTCTAGAGCCTGTCTCTTACTAAAGGAGAGCATGGTCAGCGCCTGGATGCTCTGAGCGTGTAACAGGGAAAACTAGTTTAGATTGCGGGTCTGAAAGCCTCTTGATGGCTTTGATAGTTGAAGGGGATGGGGTAAAGTGGGGGTAGGTCCTCATTCAAGGGATAGAAGACAGAGATGGGAGGGAAGAAAGGAGAAGCACAGATGACCCCCTAGATGTCCGTTCGCAACAACCAGATGAATTTTGGCACCATTTTCTTAAGATACAGGGTGGCTTGCGAAGTTTGGTGGGGAAGTGGGGAAGGTCAAGAATTGGGTTTTGGACACGTGAATCCGAAGAGAAATGATACACAGATGGATATATGGGCACCCCTGGTGGCTCAGACGTTAAAGAATCTGCCTGCAATGCAGGACACCCAGGTTCGATCCCTGGATGGGTAAGATCCTCTGGAGAAGGAAATGACAGCCCACTCCAGTATTCTTGCCTAGAGAATCCCTTGGACAGAGGAGCCTGGCAGGCTACAGCCCATGGGGTTGCACAGAGTCCAACACCACTGAGCTACTAACACATATAGGTCTGAAGCTTATCAGAAGAGTGACAAAACTGGAGACAGAAATTGGGAGTTATTGGAATATAGATGGTATTTGAAACCATGGAATTGGGTGGGATCACCGAAAGTGAAAGTGAAGTCACTCAGTCGTGTCTGACTCCTAGTGACCCCATGGACTGCAGCCTACCAGGCTACTCCGTCCATGGGATTCTCCAGGCAAGAATACTGGAGTGGGTTACGATTTCCTTCTCCAGGGGATCTTCCCGACCCAGGAATCAAACCCGAGTCTCCTGTATTGGAGGCAGACGCTTTAACTTCTGAGCCACCAGGGAAGCCCCGGGTCACCTAAGACAGGTGCATAAAGGAAAACACACACAACCAGCCTTTCGAGGCGAGGAGCAGGAATCGCAGAGGACAAGCAGAGCCTGCCAGAGAAGTAGACAGGAAACCAGGAGAGGGTGTCTGTGGAGCTGAGTGAAGAGACTGAGGAAACAGGTGTCATTTGCTTTGACAAAGGCTGCTGAGAAGTCAGCTAAGGAGAGCCCTGCAGATGCTCCAGGTTGGGACCCTGCTGAGCTTTCCTGGGACAGACCCCTCCCCTCTCTCTCTGCTGTTGCTCTTCTCTGAAATACCCAGATAATAGTATCTTGTGTATTTGCTGGGTTTTTCAGAACAAAACAGCTTTCATCAGCATTCCCAGAGTCCTCCATGTCACTGTGAAGATTTGTGAACTCACTGTGTTTCCCAGAAGTGTGCAGTGCCTCTTAATCATGCCCTCAATCTCACAAAATGTTGATCTGTTCCTGTTTTACTGCAAGAGCAAGGGCTGTGTCATTTGTGGTACTCAGCCCTCATATCAGTGACCTCCTCTTCTCCACTTGGATGTCTCAGAGCACCTGGAAACCAACATTTCTAAAACAAAATTCCTGATCATCCCCCGCCGGGGTCTTCTCCAAGGGCCCCCTACCCCAGTAAAGGCACTGTTACCAAACTAGTCAATGACCCATGCTGGGGTCCTAGCCTGGGCAAGACTCATCTTGACCTCGGAGGAGGTTCTTTTTCCAAGTAGACGGGCCCAGCAGATAGCAAAACGGATGCTGAGACTAGAGCAACATAAGCTTTATTTAATAGCCAAAAAATGGAGAAGCAGGAACCTAGTTTGCAAACAACTTCTCAACCTAATTCAGGTGGAGACACCAAAAATATAGAAGGGTTGAGGAAAAAGGGAGGAAATTGGAAAGAGTGAGAGGAATACATGAGTTATTCAAGAACAGGTGTGTGATTTTGACCTGAAACTGATGCAGCTCTCCTTTTCAGTCCTCATACAGCTTTTCCAGTTGTCATGACAACTGTCTTGGTGCTGGTGGGCGTGTCATTTAGCTAATGTATTACAGTGAGCCTGTTATCAGGCTCAAGGGCCACAGGAATCAAATCTTCTGCCATCTTGACCCTAGCTGGTTCTAATTAGTTCTTGTTTTTTCCTCTTTGCAGCTTCCTTTTGAAACTTAAACTTAGATATTCATGCTCAGTCGTGTACGACTCTTTGTGACCCTATGGACTATAGCTTGCTAGGCTTATGTCCATGGTATTTCCCAGGCAAGAATCCTAGAGTGGGTTGCCATCTCCTACTCCAGGCAATCTTCCCAACCCAGGGATCAAACCTGTGTCTCCTGCATTGCAGGTGGATTCTTTACTGCTGAGCCATCGGGGAAGCCTAACCCCAATAAATAGAAGATGTCAGTATTCCTCATTCCAGAGCACCGAAAGCCAGATTAAAAAAGAACTGGAGGGACTTCCCTGGTGGTTCAGTGGCTAAGACTCTGTGCTCCCAATGCAGGAGGCCTGGGTTCGATCCCTGGTCAGGGAGCTAGATCCCATATGCCAAACTAAGACAAATAAATAATTAAAAAAAAAAAAAAAGAACTGGAGAAACTCATCAAGAGATGACTTAAGCCCAGATTAAAGGAGTGCAGGTCCCATACACATCCTAATCTCATCAGCAACCCCACCCTTGAACCATTGCTATAAAACTCACCAAATCCTCCCCAGTTAGGACACACAGTTTTTGAGGCAGGAGCCCACTTTGTCCCCCTTCGCCTGGTAGAGCAATAAAGCTGTTATTTTCTACTTCCACCAAAACTGTCTCCAAGCTTCAATTCAGCACATAGGAGTTTTCAGCATCACCCCCACACCTGATCATTACTTCTGTTACCAGAAGGTTCTTTCTGTAAATTTCCTGTGTTACTTAGGTAGATGTTTCCTTCCTCATTTCATTTATTTATGTAACAGTTTATGTTTCTGTGTTTCTTTAAAGACTAAATTGAAGAATGGATGCAAAGCTGTATCTCTGTGCCCGTATGTCTTGTCTTCGCTGCCATACCTTTTCTCTGATTTGATTTTCAGGGAGATATAAAATTTCATTATACATCTCAGAATAATTTTAATGTTTAAAATTCACTTTTGGGCTTCCCTGATGGCTGAGTGGTAAAGAATCTGCCTGCCAATGCAGGAGACACTGGTTTGATCCCTGATCCGGGAAGATCTCACATGCCTCAGATCAACTAAGCCTGTGCCCCACAGCTATTGAGTCTGTATTCTAGAGTCTGGGAGCTGCAACTACTGAGCCCATGTGCCTAAAGCACTCAAGACCCCGTGCCTAGATCCTGTGCTCAGCAACAAGACAAGCCACTGCAATGAGAAGCCTTGCACAGCAACTAAACAAAGTCCACGTGCAGCAAAAACCCAGCGCAGCCAGAAATAAAGAAGCATCTTTTTTAAAAAATCACTTTTATTGGGAATTTAAAGTTGCATTTTTAAATGACTCATTAAAAATTTCTTGCACCTTTCCTGAAGGTGCTGGAGAGCTCCCAAAGTAGCTGGAGCCCAAGAAGCCATGATCCTGGGGAGCAGGGAGGCCCAGAGAAGACAGCCTGGCTGGTGTTGCTGCCATTTCGTTCTACTATGAAATTGCTGCTATGAAAGTGATGGCTGCGAGGCGGAGGCGCTGAGCGGAAGGGGAAAGAGGAAAGATGCTGAAACAGAGCAAAATGCATCTTTAGACACCTCAGGGCTGCCACGGAGGAGCAGGGCTAGCGCCCACCAGGCTTTTAGTGATGCCCTGAAGGACACGCCTACCCAGGAGCAAAGGAAAACAGGGGGCTGTCTCCAGTCGGCTCAGTCTATGGTGGGTTGGAGTCACCTGCCCTGCCCTGACTGTCCCAGTGTTAGTGAAGCAGCTGTAAGTTCATAATTGGTTTCTTTCTTTTTTTTTTTTTGGTTCAGCTAGTGAATTCTACCAAACATTTTATTTATTTATTTTTTCCACAGAAAGTCCGTGATTTTTATTTTTATTTTTATTTTTTTTAATTTTTTTATTTTTTCCATTTATTTTTATTAGTTGGAGGCTAATTACTTTACAACATTGCAGTGGTTTTTGTCATACATTGAAATGAATTAGCCATGGATTTACATGTATTCCCCATCCCGGTCCCCCCTCCCACTTCCCTCTCCACCCGATCCCTCTGGGTCTTCCCAGTGCACCAGGCCCGAGCACATCCCACCTGGGCTGGTGATCTGTTTCACCCTAGATAATATACATGTTTCGATGCTGTTCTCTTGAAACATCCCACCCTCGCCTTCTCCCAGAGTCCACAAGTCTGTTCTATACATCTGAGTCTCTTTTTCTGATAATTGGTTTCTTATTTCATTGTGGGCTTGAGAAAGCTCAGTGTATGTCTGGTGTTTAAGATCAGCAGCTTTACAAGCATGTTTTCTTCCCACAGTAGCTTAAAAGGTGCTCGTGACAGTTTCTAAAACCTAAACACAAAACAAGCAGGCTTTTCTGTTTTTCTGAGTTTTGTTTTGTCTGTCTTTAAATTCTTTTTCAGGCTTTATGACGCATCTGGAAGGATATGTATCAACACCATTAGAGTGGTTCTCTC